AATGTGCTGGGAGCCATGTGTAGAAAGAGACCAGGGACACTGGGATGATGATAGTGATTATGACTCAGGATGTCTGTAATCAGGTCAACCTGGGTCACTACAGTATCAATGACAGACTTGTCAATCACTGATTACTGAACTAGCAGAAAGAATCATGGTACTTGTTTCCTTGATATTTCCAAGTTTATTATTAATAAATACTCTTAATTGAAGCATTGTTGATTAACTAGCCAATAATCACTTTAATCAGTTCTACTTTTGATTATTATACAAATGTCTATTTATTTTATTTTACAGGGTGGAAATTACCTGTGAAACATTGGTGATTTGCTTGGGTACTGGGAAAAATGTGTCTTCTAATTCCATAGGATATTTTATTTGCATCAATCTGCTGTTTGTTTAGAGAAGCGCTATAACAAATTCCGTGGTTTTGGTATTCCCTGACCTCTCTGTCCTCTTTGTCTACAATGCCCAGGATTACACAGTGGAGAGTCTCGATGCATGGACATGGATGGTGTGGTCCTCATGAGCCTCAGGATTTTTCTATTTGAAGTTCTGCACAGAGAAGGCCACAACATCCAGCTAAGATGTGAACAGGAGAGATGACAGTGCTGAGTGATGGAAGGGAGGGAGGTGGATCTTGCCATCCCTGGAGATTCTAGAAGAAAATATGGGTCCAAGATGGAGAACTGTGTCTGAGAATGTGCAGGGACCAACCCGGATTTGGGTGCAGAAAAACATGTGCATTCTGGTGTGCACACTTCTTTCCACACTATGCTTTGACTCATACCATACCTTGCTGTGAACTTTTGTGAACTGGCCCTCCTCTCCTCTCACCTCCACGATGTGAGGGTGAATCCCACAGGCCAGGTTTGGGTCTTTGACTTTGTGCATCTGCTACATTGCTTCACTTTCGTGTAGTATTTACTATTTTCAATGTTAATTACTGCACTCCTGTTGGACATTAATGAGACTATATTTTTTTAATCAGAGAACCTGGATCTTGGGTGAAATAACAAAAAAAAGAAAACAAAGTCCTGGATGAAAAAATGCCTAAATGCAAAATGTCCTAACACTCTGTGGACTCACAAATGCCCATCCTCTTGAGATGCTGATTCAACGGTTTCTCCAGAAACATAACAACTGGGATCAGTACCCTGGTGTTTGAATGAACAGTTGAATTTCTCTGTTCCTTGCTGGCATGTACAAAATAAATTAACTGTGTGTTAGCCCTGAATCATCTTCCTGCAATCATGATAACTTCCAGAAGGTTTTTCTTTTCTTTTTGTCAGATAATTCAGATTTTCAATTTAGACAATCATGTCATCTGTATGGAAAGATGGTTCTTTTCTCCTTCTCACCTGTGCACCTCCTGTTTCCTTTATTTCTCTTCCTGCGTTAACCAGGCTTTCCATTGCAATGCTGAAAAGGATTTGACTGGGGGATGTCCTTTCCTTCTTCCTTATTTAGTGGGAAATTTTAGATTTCTTGTGATGATATATGTAATAAACCCCAGGCTTATTTGTATATGAGTTTAATCAGGTGTAAGAATTTATCTTAATATGCTGACATTTTTTATGAGGAATGGGTTTGGACTGCAACCAGTGCTTTTTCTGCATCGACAAAGAAATCCTGTTGTCATGTAATTTTCCTTTTTAACTCTGTGGCTTGACTGATCACATTACTTTGTTTTCAAATACTGAACTGACTTTACAACCATTGAGTAAATCTCACTCACTAGTGGATTATAATTCTTTGGCAAAATAATGGATTTAATTTGTAATGTTTTCATTTGTGATTTTATGAAAGAATGTACTTTGAGAAATGCATCCATAGAGAACTTTGTCATTATGTGATCATCTAGTGAACATACACAATGTCACATGGATCTGATGTTACAAATTTTATTGGGTTTACCATCACATATGATATCTGCCACAGATTCAAACATCATTATGTAGAGTGTGAATGTTTTTTGAGGATTTTCCATCTGTGTTCATGAAAATGTTGGTCTATACTTTGTTTTCTCTTAGGTTTTGTCTGATTTGTATATTAGGATAATGCCGCCTAGAATGAGTTAGGTTCAGTGGCCTCACTGCCTGGAGCTGTGTGCAGCTTAATGCATGGGTTCAATCTCACCTTCATCCTCTAGTATTTGAAAAGAAACTTCTAGGAGGAGGAGATCTCTGGCTGAACTTCCCTGTCCTCCTCTTCCCTGACCCATACACATAGGTTCCCTTGTCCTGTCACAGCTCAGCATTGTCTTTGAGGCTCATGCTCTGACCCCATGGAAGAATGGCATATTGCCCTGAGTTCTCAGCCAGACTCAGATTCTGGTATTCTGACAGTCACCACCATGTGATGTCAGCAATCTGGGATGTTCTGCAGCCAGGGATTCCATGTGGGACACACCCAGACCATAGGTTCACAGGTCTTCACTATATGCTCACCATATAGCTCCAAGTGAACTCCAGATTCTGGGATGCAGGACAGTTAACAAGGGAGGGCAAACAGAAGTCATCCTTCCTGTATTAAAGACAGATACACATGGGCCATACTGCCTTCATTGATCACTGGAACTTCTCACCAGGGTTCAGACAGTGATGTTTGTAGCTGTGAGTGGAGAGAGATGGAACCTAAAACTGAAGCCAGACACAAATGCTGAATGGGCAGAGCAGAGACAGCCCTGCCCTTACTGAAGTTCTATTTCTTCAACCTTGAACAATATCACAGAACTCCAGGTTGAGAAAGCAAAGGGAATTTGTCATGTCTCTGCCCTCTGCATGCTTCACATATTGGCTGACTTTCACTTCTTTGTCAAAGGCAAGAAGTGTTTGTCTCTCAACTTAGTCCTGGGGCATATGAGGGGATGGGTCTCTTGCCTTCTACCTTGAAATTGAGTTTCACCCAAAGCAATTGTCAATGCCATAAGAAAAGGTCAACCAACATCCCAACTATGCTACTGTTGTAACACAAACAGTCAACCCAGAATTCCTTACTCTGGGAAGACTTACAGATGAACACAACTATTGATGAGAGGAAGTAGTAGAACCACAGATAGAACCAGGCTGCTCCTGACCTTCCCACATGTGGTTCTCTATTCTTCATAGCATATTTGGAAAATGTCTAAGTATGAAACTCAGGATTTAAGACAGATAGGAACTGATTTCTGAAAAAGGAGCTGTCATATATATTATTTTGGATCATGCAAAGGCCAATATGTTGGGAAATATCAGTTCTGTTTGCTGTGAAGCTTTCAGTGTGAAAACACAGACAAGGGTGTTTCATGCCCATCTATGGAGTCCTCTTATCTAGTGAGATCTTGAGCTCTCTCCTCGCATGTCCTCCACATAGTGTGCAGGCAAAGAAATCATCACAATTTTCAAATGCAACACTCAGCTCTGCCCGCTCCAAAGAGAAGGACAATTATTTTCTTTATTGGTAAATAGAACTTATACTCTGTGGAGTTTTTGTACTAAAATGTATATTGTTGAAGAAAAAGCCAGGGGGTGGCACTGCAAAAAAGTAAGAAAAATGTCACTCCACATTCCAAGAAGGATGTGACTCAGTGTCCATCAAATACTGCACATGCAATGCTTCTGTAGGGAAGAGAACACAGGACTGCGCAGCCTGCTGTGGATGTTGGAATCAAGCGCTGATTCTAACTCTAGTTGCTGCACAAGACAAAGTTGCATTACTAAGGAAAATCCACACATCCTTGGCCATTCGAGAAGCAATGGGTCTGGCAGAAATATATTTTCCAAGGGTCTTTGGGCTGAGGATCAGAGGTATTTCTTCACTGTCATATGCAAGTCTGTGTCAATCCAGTTTCTGCCATGTGATGTGCAAGTAAGGAGCTCCTCCATTGAGCAGGATGCCCTGAGTTCATCATAGTCATGGTGCATGTGGTGGAACTCTAATAGCTGTTGTGCTATTCAAGGGTATTGGGGAAAACAGGAGTTTCTGAGTGTTGAGTATAAATCTATCAGAATTCAGGATCTTGGTACCTTGATAAAAGCCCTAGGAGACCAGATTCCTGCACATGTAGATACTGGCTGTACAAAGTGAAGACATGTTCCACTGCACACATGTATAATAAGTAAATAGTTCCAAATCTATTGGGCCTCCACTGAAATTTAAGTACAGCATGTGCCTCTTCATGTGTGTGATCTCAATTCAATCATTTAGAACCTTGAAAGGCGGCTGGCTCAGATGGGGCCACAAACAAGAGAAAACTTTGCAACAGATACAGGCTGTAGAAAACCTGAGCCACAGGATCCAGCAGAGTCCATGTATGGAGCATCTGTGGCAGAAGGCTGTGATGAGTCCCAGCATAGACCTAAAGATTTTAGAGTCATACTGTGACATGTCTTCAGAGAGCCATTCTTCATTGGGGAAGCGACTTCTGTATTTCTATTGAGCTTCAGCTGAATGGGAATGCCTGGATACATGTAGCCAAGTCATCATGGAACCAGAGGTGACCATCATGATCCACCCAACCCTAAATTGAACTCAACAATGGTCCATTGTCAGAGGAGTGGCTCATAAGAGATTTGGCTGAAGAATTTCCCAAAGGTGTGTGATATACAAAATAGCAAACTGAACTTCTGGACTAAGCCAGGCTCTGTGATAACCTGGGGAAAACCTGTGACCACATGGTGTCATGGGAACTTTGATATCCAGAATATGTTCTGCATAAAGAGGTAAGCCTGCTAACATGGACAGACAAACATCACTGGCCTCACACACAATCAAATTCACATGCTCATCCACAGAACCTATGACAGTGTTACCTTACCTGACATAAAGCTTCTTTGCCAATTAGCTTAAATTGAGGAACTAGGAAGAATGATTACCCATGGGGTAAGAGCAAAACAACAAAGTCCTAGTAATTGAAAGAGGGAGGCAGGGACTCATCATCAAAGATGGAGTTGAGAAGGTAGAGTAGACATGGGACCAGTGTGCTTATCTCTGAGATGGGAGGTATGAGGAGGCACAGGATGCACAGCCTGCAGGAGTTTGAAGAGGTGAGTGAGCAGATTCTGCCCTGGGCATGCAGACAACACAGCCTTGAGGGGAACTTGACTGGGTCCAAGAGATCACCATGCCATGCCCTTCAGACCTAGAGATGAGTAATGTAGTGATCTGAGTTGTTTTTTAGACCCTGTTTGTTACAGCAGAAATAGGAAGGTAATATATGCTTTGTTTGTCTCTCTCTGTGTGTGTGTGTGTGTGTGTGTGTGTGTGTTTGTGTGTGTTTTATGACACTGAGTGTTGAAAGTTAGTGATTTTGGAGCATGTCATTCTGTGATGTACCATGTAGATGAAGAAGAAGAAGATAAAGCCAGATGGAAGTGTCCAGAGGTCAGGGACATCACCATTTCTGTCTCAGGTGTCTGCCGAGAGACTGGTGTTCACCACACCCCAGTGTTGCAGAAATGAGAACCAGGTTTCTATATAGTACATTTCAATTTCCTGTGGGGCTCCTGAAGTCACAACCATGTGAGAGGCAGAACTTGCATTCTGAGTTGTCAGACATCGCTTATCTCTCTATCTGTCCTACAGGGCACCTTATTCTTATCCATCTGTGCATCCCTGGTCAATCCAAGCATATGCTTTGAACCCCAAACTCATGGTTCTGCTATTCCTCGGTGAGATGTGAAGAAGGAAAGGGGATTCTGTAGTCTGAGAGGGATGCCACCCCAAAGCCAGGTCTTATAAAGAGATCTCAGAGGCTCATGAGAATCTGGAAGGAGAGAACCTGCTCAGTCTTCAGGTACAAACATTTCAAAAGGAACTCTCTTGCAGGGCTGAGTCTGGACTCTAGGATGTGAGTGCTGGGAGGTGAGTTTGTCCACAAATGTCTTATATTCTTTCCCTTCACTGGGGAAAAGCTGACACCCTGGGCATTGAGAATGGAAAACCTTAGATGTGGCTGATGCTGGTTGTGCCTGAATGGTCCTTCCTTAGAGCTGGAATCGAGTGGGGATTTCCTGAGACCCAGCTTTTGATTCCCTTGCAGAGATCCTCCCCAAACTTACCATCTGGGGTGAACCAAGCTCTATGAACACCTGGGGTATGCTGGTAACCATATGGTGTGAAGGCAACCTGGAGGCCCAGGAGTACAATCTGTTTAAAGAGAAAAGCTCAACATCTTGGGACACACAGAAGCCTCTGCAGTCCAGCAACAAGGTCATGTTTGCCATCACGTACATGACAGACCAAAATACAGGGAGATATCACTGCAACTATCACAGCCCTGCTGGCTGTCAGAGGATATCGACCCCTTGGAACTGGTGCTGACAGGTGAGAGGACAATTAGGGGTCCCAACATCTGGCTCTGACCCCAGGGTTGGGGTCTACTGTCAGGGGTGGCCCATCCCAAAGCCCAGCCCTTAAACTACATGAGAGATGAGAGCCAATTTGACACACTGACCCCTTCTCTCCTAGGATTCTATGGAAAACCCAGCTTCTCAGTCTTGTCCAGACCTGTGGTGACCTCAGGAGGGAAGTGACCCTCCAGTGTGGCACATGGCAGGAATATGACAGGTTCATTCTGACTAAAGAAGGAGAACCCAAGGTCTCCTGGACCCTGGACTCTCTGAGTCATCCAAGTAGGCAATTACAGGCTCTGTTCGCTGTGGGCCCTGTGACTCCCAGTCACAGGGGGATATTCAGATGCTTTGGCAATTACAAGAACCAACCTCAGGTGTGGTCAGCACCCAGCGATCCCCTGGTGCTCCTGGTATCAGGTGAGTTTCCTTAATTTTGACTCAATTTCTTTTGAATCCCCAAAACTTTGTCATGAGCACTGTTCCCAGTAAAAGGGAATCTGTGTCACCCTGAGTAAAAGATCCAGATTTGGGAAACTGTTTGGCAGGAATCTACTCTTTATCCCCTGACCTGTCTTCATTCCAGGATGTCCAGAAAGCCATTCATCTTGAGCAAACACGGCCCTATCTTTGCCCCTGGAGGGACCTTGACCCTCCAATGTCACTCTGCATTTGGCTATGACAGAGTTACTGTGGAAAGAGGAGGAGGCATGACCTCACCCAGCAGCATGACCAGCAGCCCCAGGCTGGGCTCTCTCAGACCAAATTCCCGGTGATACATGTGAGCAGCTCACATGGGGGCTGGTATAGATTGTATGGTTTACACAGCCAGTCCAATGAGTGTTCAGACACCAATGAATCCATGGACATCCTAATCACAGGTAAAGAATCCAGCAGTGTCATTCAGAAACAAGACTGCACAGCTCATGCTGGTGGATCCCCAAAGGTGATGGCCAGGATGAGGCCTGTGTGCTTCAGAAAGGAGATAAAGAAACTGTGTAGAGGTGGGAAGGGGAAGAAGGAAAAGAGAAACAGAAAGATGTTGATCCTCAGAGACAGGCCTTTTGAGGTCTCAGCTGAGAACAATGTGGGGCAGCCCCTCACCCTCCATCTTCACTCTATGCCAGCTCCCTGAGAGACCCTCCCTCTGAGTGCAAGGAGGGCAGTTGATTTCCCACCCCACCACACCCCACCCCTGTCTTAGATCAAAGTGCTGAGTGGTCAGCTGCATCAGGCATAATCCTCCATTCCTGATGTGTTCTCAGCACTCAGGGCACTACAGGTGTTCTGGGTTTCTCTCCTCATTTCCCTACCCCTTATCACTACCCCAGTGACCCTCTTAACTCCTGGTCTCAGGTGATGAACCCATGAGCCTATCCACTCTATGTTCAAAGGATCACTCAGGGCTCTGCCGCAGGATAGTTGTTAACTGGGTTAGAAGTGAGGCAACTAAAGGGATTCTCAGCCAGAGGGAGAGTGACCCCACAGATAGGGGTAGAAATGCAGGGGTCCTCCCAGGTATGTGCAACCCTCCCTTTCATTGGAATCCAGAACATACTATATGGACATTGAGAATTCTTTGAGGAGGCCACAGGGCAGATGTAGGGGAGTGAACAGAGATGGTGTCTTCAAGGGCAGCCCAAATCCCTAACTCTACTTATTCACAGGACCCCCTGGGGTACCAACACCCCATATTCAGGGCCCATATCAACTGATAGTACATCTCAGGGGCCTCTGTTCAGGAAGTTTCTTGGGTCCCCAGGCTGCCTGGAGACATCTCAGACTATCTAAGTCCTTTTCCTGTGCTGGCTCTGCTTGTACCCAGGGAGTTTGGGGTCACATAGAAAAGTGGGTGAGAACCCGTAAACTATAGGGGCTCAGAGGCTGGGCTGCATGAGGGTGGGTCAAGACAGAAGCAGATGTTGAGGCTAAACCACGGGAAAAGTAACTAGGCTTAGGTGAGGATCAGGGAGCTCAATGCCTCATCTTCCATGCATCCCCACAGGCCATGGGGATCAGCCAATCACCCCCGTAGTGTCAGGACTCCAGAGAGTTAAGCAATAAGCTCCATTAGGAGGTGGAGTCCAGGTGGGAAGGGGATGAGCTAGAGGGTTTGTGCAGAGTCCTGTGAGATGTTGACTTGGACAGTCCCCTCTGCCACCTGGGCCTCAGTTTCTCGAAGTATAAAGGGCAGGTTTGGACTAGACCTTCAAATTCATTTCAGTGCTGACCTTGGCTGTGACCTCATGGGGGAGGAGTCCACCAAGGGGAGATTCCATGACTCATTTGTGCAGTGTACCTGTCCCCTCTGCCACAGTGATAGTGACATTGTGCTGGAATGGTGCACAGGGCAGTGACAGGTAAATTCAGATTCTTTCCCTCTTGTTCAGGAGGCTAAGCTCTGGTGCAGACATCCAGGGTGAAAGTCAGATTCCCCAGGTCCAATCCCAGCTCTACTGCTTCCTGTTGGGTGACCTGTGGCAGTTGTTTTGCCACTCTGAGCCTCAGTTTCCACCTTTGTAAACTAGCTGGGATGGGGTGGCAATCCCATGTTACAGGAGTATGAGGGTCAGAGATAAAGGGTACTAATTATCCAGCATGGGCATATCACACAGTAGGTGGTCAGATGAGTAGCATTATTCCTCATTCACTACATCACTTGTCCCCAAGGACTGCAGTCATACCAGCTGGTTCTGATCAGGATCTCAGTGGCCTTCCAACTGCTGCTCTTTCTCTACCTCTTCTGGCATGGATGTCAGGGAAAATGCAGGAGGTCAGGTGAGTAGGGAGTGGGTGATATGGTCCGCAGGTGTGAGTGGGCTTCCTCAAGCACTGAACAAGTTTGGGCTCAGGACACCAAGCCCCAAAACACCATCCAGGTGGAGACAGAACAGTTGAGAAACCCTTCTGCAGAATCTCAGATCAGAAAACCTAAAACAAGAAACACTTGATCTTGGTACATGTGAAAATTTCAGGTATTCTCTGAGTTTTCCACCTCAGGAACATGTGGACATGAGTCCAGTGTGTTTAAAGTCCCTGTCCTCCCTTTCAGGGGCCTGTGAGGTGGGTTATGCCCTCTGGTCTGAGACTCTTCATTGTCATGCAGCCCACAGAGAGGCTGACTTCCAACATCCTGCAGGGGCCATGGAGCCAGCGTCCAGCTCCATAGGACTGCAGAAGAAGTAATTCCTGCTCAAGGAGGCAGACCCCACCTGTGTACCATCTCTCACTGATACCTAATGTCCTTTTCTCCCCAACTCCAGCCCAGCTTCTGAGGTCCTGGAAGAAAACCTGTGTGAGAGGAAGAGGGACCCTGGTAGCCCCAGGCTTGAGGGCTCAATACCACAATGGGAGGAAGTAGGCTTGGGCTGAGTCTGACTGAACTCCACACTGTGAACCTGGGGACAACACCAGAAGATGACACCCAGTTATGTTCCCACAGATGCGGCTGTAAAGGACACACAGACTGAGTACCAGGTGGAGCTGAACAGTGGGGTGAGACCCCCACAACCCTCCATGGCTCCAGGAACTTCTGTTGCCCAATTTCATCCAAGGAACACTCTCTGTTCTCCACTCATTCATCACTTTGAGACATCCGTTCCTGATCCATTTTCTTCTGGAAGCTCTTTCCTCAACCTGCTGTGACCTCTCTTTCTCTCCTGGCTTTCTTGTGACCTCATGGTGCCTCCCTCCTGTCTGTTTCCTGCCTCCTCAACTTGTCTGGCTGTTAGTCTGCTCCTGGGTCTCAGAAGCACACATGAGTAAATGAGCCCCCTAGGCATCTGATGCCCCTCCACTCCTTCGCCCAGCCATGCATAGGAAGCCCCATCTTGACCAGTCTCCCTGCAGGGACTGCAGATGCAGCAGTGACTGCACAACCCTTCTGCCCTAAGTTTACATTGAGATTGGGAGACAACATCAAATAAATGCCACATATTGGGAGTGCAAGTCTGTTATGGAAAATGAAGCAGAGAATGGAGAGCTTTGGGCAGAGAGGCCAGTGTGATTTGCAAGGGGACTCTGATAAGTTGTCTTCTGAGAAGCATGGATGGAGAGAAACCACAAACATTGACTACAGCAGTGCCTGCCTGCAGGGGACACAGCAAGTACAAAGGTCCTGGGGGAGGAACACACTTTTTCACACAGGCTTCTGTGGCTGGAGCCATGTAAACAAGGGTCAGAGTGAAAGGATGAGAGCTCAGAACTATAGGAAGGAATCTGTCCAAAGTTCAGAGGTCTTCAGATGCTCCTGAATAGCCCGTCATGAATGACATAATCTGATTTAAATTTTGAAGGTATCACTTGGGCCAGCATGGGGAAAACTGGCTGAGGAGATCCAGATGGCATCAGGAGACTCTTTCTCTGTCTCACTGTCTCCTTGCTGCAGGGAACACCTGAGGAAGACATCCAGGTGGTGACCTGCATCGAGGTGAAGCACTCCAGACTAGGAGGGGAAGGGCTGCTTGTCATTCCCTGATGTAAGGGGAATTCCTGCTTACAAAGGACACACTGGTAGATAGGGGCAGGCAGGTAGACACTCAAATGGGTCTTCATTTCCCCAGGCCCTGGCTCCCCAACACCAAGTGTGTACCTTCCCTCTCATACTCTCTCTTCCAGGCTGCTGCTCCTAAGGGTCCTCAGGAAGTTATCTATGCCCAGCTGGCACTCAGACAGGGAAAACTGTACCTCCTTCCTCTCAGTCAGAGGAACCCAGCTGAGACCAGCGAGCTCACTGCTCTGGTGTCCACCACCCCAGGGAGACCATGAATCCTCACTCCATGAAGGGTCCTCAGAGGACATTGAATCTACCCTGGTGGACAGACTTGGGAGGCTGAGATCAGGAAGATCTCAGTACAAAGACAGTCCAGGGAAAAATTTTGTGAAACCACATCACCAAAATAACCAGAGCAAAATTGGTGGTGTGGCTGAAGTGTAGAGCACCTGCATTGCAAGCCTGAAATCCTGATTTCAAGCCCCAGTCCCAATGTCATCACGTGGGTTAAACACACTGTGTCTTAAACAACAGCTGCTGGCAAACCAGCTCTCAATAAAATCAGTGCTTGGTGCTTTTGTCCATGTCTATGATGTACACAACTCCCTTCCTTCACTAATTCCAGGTGACAGTGTTCCATCAATTCATGGAGAATTGAAGTGATGCATAAAATTGATTTCTCAATCTTGTATGGGACAGTGACAGCCATCTCATTGTCAGTCTCCTGTGTGCCTATGCCTTCTCTTATTTAAAGATATGACAACACCATGCTGCACCATTTCAGCACAGTTTCTGAAGAATTAGGATACCAGAATCCTAGGATATCAACAGTAAATGGGAAAGAAAAAAAGAGCAACATCAACTTTGGGAGAAAGTTGATCACAAACAATTCCAGTCAATTCCTATGCATTACAATAACCAATTGTTCTAAGGTGATACCTAATTGATTCTCACTTGTGGGAATTCATTAAAATGATCTACTTTAAAGGAGGGGATGCTCTTCTATGATGTTTATTCACATACGTGGATAAATGAGTCTGACTGTGAACTAGGATACACTCACAGGAAAAAACATAGCAGTGCCTTTCATATTGGAAAAAATCTTCCAAAACCAATCAGTCTCCTAAAAATGAATGCTAGTCCTTTATATCCATGGTGAAATATTACATGAAAAGTTAACACACTAACTCTACAGCAAAAATGGAGACCAGTCTTAAAGCATGATGTTGAATTAACACAGGATGGTTTAAAAGTGTGTGAGAGAATATCCTGTTTCCATAAATTCAAACAAAGACAATACTTATCACTTAGGAAGGCATAACTATGTTTGACCCTAAATAAAAAAAAGAGGAAATCCCAAGTGATACTAAATGGTGCTGACATAAGTGATGAATTTAAAAGTTGTGTTTAAGAGAAAACCTTGGGGACTAACGGTTACTAATGACATGGGCACCCATGTTTATTTATTTATTTTTTCTTTTATTATTCATATGTGCATACAAGGCTTGGTTCATTTCTCCCCCCTGCTCCCACCCCCTCCCTTACCACCCACTCCGCCCCCTCCCTCTCCCCCCCAATACCCAGCAGAAACTATTTTGCCTTTATTTCTAATTTTGTTGTAGAGAGAGTATAAGCAACCCATGTTTATTGTTGTTCATAGTAGCCAAGCTATGGGATCAGCCTAGATGCCCATCAACAGATGAATGAATGAAGAAAATGTGGTATATAAACAGAATTGAGTTTCATTCACAAATAAGAAATCATGTCACCTTTTTGGAAAATGGATGAACTGGACAATGTTATAGTAAATGAAATAAGCCAGACCCAGGAAGTCAAATACCAATTAGTTTTTCTCAAATGCAGAATCTATATTTTTAAGACATGAAAGAAGAAGGGGGATGATTTTTAAATGAGGAGGAGTAGCAAGAGAGGATAATAAGGTAAAAATAATCAGAGTAGTTTATATAAAAATGTGATGATGAGACCCAATATTTTGTACAATTAATATATACAAATAAAACCAATAAACAACCTAAATAAAATACAAGAAAATCTTTTGATTCAATTACAAAATTTGATCATTCTCAACAAAAGAGATTGGTTCTAAGATGTGCTCCAGTTCTATCCATGGTACATGCTGAATAAGAGATGGCTGAATCTGAACAATTTCCCGGAAGCCATCTTCCTCACTCAGCCATATGCAAGGCAACAATATCCTCTGTGTGTCATCTTTCTGTAATGTGGTCAACTGGCGAACCAGAGGAGCTGGGCCCCTCAAAACATCCCATTCACTTCTGCTGGCCTGCCACCCCCTATCATGAGGGTCAGCACCATGTTGCCCACACTCATCACTGTGCTGTGTCCTGGTGAGTCCTGCTGGGAATGAGGGATAGGGAGCATTGGAGTGGAAATGTTATCCTGGGAAGCTGGCCCTGGCTCAGAAGAGAGCACTGCTTCCACAGTGTGGGTGGACATTGAAGGCAGAGCTGACCTTTAGAGCACGGTGCACTGCCAGAGTTCACACCAAGAAGGAACACAGGGGATACAGGCTTTGGGTTTTGTAAGTACATGCATCATCCATCATGACTCTTTACAGGGTTTTTCCTCATCTAGAGGATCTGGGCACAAGTGGGTGACTCTGTCCCCAAACCTTAGGTCAAGATCCACCCCAAATGGAAACATACTCCTGTACATGAAGGCATACAGCACAGGGTCAGGTATGGTGGGTTGATGATGGAAACCCTTGTAAATGAATGTCTTGTGAAATGGAAAAAGGGGTCCTGGAAACCTGGGCCCCAACTCTGTCCCAGATCCATCCAGCCACTCAGCAGATAAATAAGATAGTTTCCAACTTTCATTCTAAAACAAACAAATGAAAAGAAAGCCGGTAATTGTATTCACTTCTTACCCATCTGCCATATATTTTTAGGTCTTTATTTCACAAGGATGACTTTTTAGATTGTGCATAATTTAACAAATGACTGAAGTTATTGTTTTCTTGTTTTAACTTTCATGCTGCACATATGAACTGGCTCCACCATTACATTATTAACGATTCTAATATGCACTCTATTTACTTTTTATACTTTTCCAAGGGGGGTTATGCTTTCAGAGAGTCTTGTGTTTTATTGACATCCCCTCCTTTGAGCTTGAATAATTCTCTTTAGCATTTCCTGTTAGACAGGTCTGGTGGTGATGAAGTCCCTCAGTGTGTTTTTCTGAGAAAGTCTTTATCACGCCTTCATTTCTGAAGGACAGCTTTGTTGGGGTCATAATTCCTGGTAAACATTTCCCTTACAGTCCTTAGGATACATAATTCCTTTCTGTCTTGGCACCTAAGGTTTTTCTCAGATGTCTGACAATAGCCATGTTAAAATTCCTTTATGTGCACTGAGCTTTTCTTAGATTCCAGGATGCTCTCTTTGACTTTGACTCTGATGGCTGGTTGATAACATTAATTGGAGCCACGTTCTTTGGATTTATTTTCATCTGTGTCTTTTGATGTTCTTGTCACTGGATGGTTGTATCTCTCTTGAGGTCTGGAAATATTTCTCTGAAAATTGTTCTTAATAATGTTTCTTCTCCTCCGTTTTCTCAACTCTCACTTGAATTCTAGTGACAGAAATTTTCCTTGTTTGATGCTATCTAGTAAATTGTGTAATTTTTGTTCATTTCCTTTTCATTTGTTTGTTTGGTTGCTGTGGCTGATCATCTGATTGGGTAATTTCAAATGTCAGGTCTGAGCTCACTAATGCTTCTGTCTGACCAAGTCTATTGCTGAACTTTTCTATGTTCCTTTTAAATTTAAAATTATCTATACTCTTTCTTCTTTTGTTTCTAGTTCATTGTCAAACTACTTGTGCTCTTCAATAATTTATTTGCAAATGGCAATGAGCTTTCTATCTGTACTCTCCCCTAGCTCCTTGACCTTCATTAAGAGAATTACTCTGAGTTATTTCTGGTTCTCTTACTGGAGCTTATTAGTTTCTTTTCTCTGCTCATATTTCCCTGATTATTCATAGTCCTGTATCCTTACATTGACACCTGAACACTTCAGGAGGTGGCCCACTTCTTCTGGCTTTTTCAGAAATATTTTGGTGGATATAGACCTTTATCATCTAGTCTAGCCTGAGATTCTAGATGGGCCAGATATCTGAAACCTTGGACAGGCATGCCTTGGTGTTCAGTTCTCTAGCTGGACTGGTTTTATCCCTGTTGTCTAATGACAAATGTCATTGCTGGCTGTGCTCTGAGCTCCAGAGAGATGACTGACTGCTCTCTGACACCAGGTGTGGTTTCTGGATGGGCTGTGATTGTCTCTGACTGAGGAGGGTTGACAGAATGACCTCCCATGCTCAGAGTCACTTTTGGTTGGAGTTTCATGTTGTTGGCTCTTTTCTAATATGAAGTATCTACATTGGCTTAATGTAAGCCATATTCCAAAATTTGTGCACTGGCCATTGTGAGCCCCACCCCCATCTCCAAATGGCCTGGGTCAGCCTGCCATGCCAATATCCACAGAGTTTCCCATGCAAGCTTCCTGTAAAAGGTTCCAAAGTTGTGGGGAAGACAAACATCTGCCTCTAACTCACCCTTCCCAATGTGGAAACCATGGGCACAGGATAAGAAAGATGGGCAGTGTATTGCAAGAGTATCACTTTGCTTCCTGTTCTGTTGTGGATTTTCCCAATTCTGTGATCTAAGGCTGTCTAGGACTTCCCTCCAATTTCTAGGATATTCTCTATGGTATTTTTGCCTGTGTTTACCTGGATTTCTGATGGGAGTTATTGTGAAAACAAAGAAGTCCCATTGTACCCTCTTGCTAACATCACTTCCCACATTAGATTACTTCATTCCTAGGCATCCTGACCACTATGCCATCTTATTTGACTTGTTTTAGCAACTAAATTTGCATGACCAAAAGTATATCTTTGCTAGGAAGCATCTCTTATTTATTTTTTTACTGTTTTCTTCTACAAAATTGGATAACAGGAGGGTGAAATAGGTCCTGACCTGGGGGCGTGGTACAAGTGGGAGGCGGTGGTGGTTGGAAAATGACATAGGACAGTGAATATGTTGCAAAAATGCGTACACATGTGTATAAATGTAAAAATGATATCTGTTGAAACTATTCCAAGAACAGGGTGAAGGGGTATAAAGGAGAGGGGTGGAGGTAGTGAATTCAGGTATGATATATTTGATAAATTGTAAGAACTTTTGTAAATGCCACAATGTACCCCAACCAAGCACAATAATAAAAATATTCTCAGATGAC